GCCGCGCGCGGTCGACGCGGTCTATCGACGCGCCTCCCCCCTCCCCCCTCCTCCTCCTGCGTGGCCTGCCCGGAGTAGAGGCTCGCCTCATCGTCGATGTAGTTGGACTCGCTCTCCTCGATTGGAATCGAATCGTTCCGTGAAGCGTAGCCGCTAGAATCGTAAAAACTACTCATGAGTAAAGATAAAATAAAATTACGCGATCCCTTTCTAATACAAAAAAGAAAACTTTTGTCGTTTTTAATACTCTATCAATATTATAAAAACTACAAGATTTATAAATATATGATCAATAATTACGCTAAGAGAGGGAAGCCTAATTTGAAGGAATCGGTAGTGCCCCTAGGGGGGACCTGATTTATCCCTTCGATGCTTCTTAGGCTGTATCTAATCTAATATCTTGCGATATATGTGATGGGTCGCTCAATCGAGCAAAAAAAAAACATGCGGGCAAGTAGAATTCTTTGCTATATAAGATGGCAGCTGAACAAAACTAGACATTAAATTTTGGTGATCCAGACTCATTTAAAATGCACCCGATGAATCTGCAGTTCTGTTGTCTCAGGATAGGACAAAGGAATGTATTGAATTTCTTGGGTATAGGCGAACCTTCTGCTAGAGATAGCCCCCCACGTGTTCGACATCGGTTCCATTCTGGATTTTAAAAAATAGAGTCCTCACAAAGGACCTAACGGCTATTTATATGATAAAGGCGCCTATACTTCATATGAATCGTTGGCACATCGAGTATGGTCAGCTATCGATGAAGACGTGTAATGAGTAAAAAAAATGAGCCAGTGCTATCTTCACACAAAGATACACCACAAGCATCGCTCATTTGTGATTCTTTACTTTCTTCGCGGTCTTTTTGGCGATGGTGTGCGCTGCTTTCGAGTTCCTCTCTCCCTTTCTCCCTTCCTTGTCGATGATCCAGATCGAGTGCGCCTCCTCTTAATACTTCTCGAAGCTGAACGTGAGGAAGAAGAATACGAAGATGATGATGTAGACGAGGCATGACGGCTGGAATGTCGAGTACGCCGTACTTCAAGGCTCTCTCGTTGGTGATAAGAACGTGAAGAAGATGAAGTGCTGAGACTTCTAGAAATTTTGCGGCTGGATTTACGGCGTTGTCCCCTGTGGCGCCTTGAGGAGCTTGAGGAGGAATCCGATCCTGATGAAGACGACCTCGAGTACGAGCTCCAACTTCGACTACTGTGATTTCTACCGCGACCTCTGAATCTCCCCTCCGGGGAATCATTCTCGCGCCTCTCCACTCTACGAAGTGCAATGCCGCTCCTGCCGGCACTGCCCAACGCAGCAGAGGAAGAGGTCGCCCCGGAGAGGGCTGCCGTGCTGCTGCCCTTCACAACCGGCTTCTCGCTCGGCGGCAGCGCGTGGTTCACCTTCGCAAAGCTCACGTTTACACGGCTACCATCCACCACCGCGCCGTGTAAGACGCCGTACACCTTGATCGTATCTTCGTCCGTCATGCCGATCACTTCCGCGCGTCCATGTGGACATGTCTGCCAAAGCACCGGGGTGGGCATGATAATCTTTTTAATCCGAACGGAGCGCTTCCCGAGGGAATCCATGCTGAGCAGCTCCCGAAGGTGGGCCTCCGTCACGTGCGGCGACAGATTTGAGATGCGAGAGATAAGCTCGATAGCCATGACGGCGGTAAATGGCGACTGTAATATCAAAGAACGCCCGTTATGTATATGATTTTGTCTATTATCCTCTAATGGATTGTTAGTAGTCTCCTTAACAGAATCAATTCAACCGAATAGAAACCAAACAGATTCAAAGTGGTGCCTAAACAGTATCCCATTTAAGCTGTGTCCGGGAGGAGACCACATACATCAACAAGGGGTGGGAAAAGGTTAGAACGAGCGCAAAGAGAGAACACAAACTCCAAACGAATCAATTAATTGAGACCATGTGAACCCATCAAGGTAAGCAAAGCTCTTGTTGCGTCCTCTTTTCACACACTTTAATCAAAAGACTAGCAGCATTCTTCGTCCAACAAAAAAGAAAACCCGACATTTCGTCTTATTGAAAGCACTTTTCCACCTTCGCAATAATTTCGTGGTAAACTGTGCTTTTCTGAATTTGCGGAATTAATACCAAAAGGCCACCAACGCAATGACCTTGGGAGCGATACCCTATCAGTGTTAAAAAGCAACTCTTATCTAACGCCTGCACGACAACCGCATCGTGGTACTGTGCGCTGACATATAAAGGTACCCCTAGCTGCAGCTGTTCTAGATTCTGAAAGCAGCGCGCGCCGCTTAGCACAACGTTACTCTCCATTGGCATATCCTCCTCGGCGGCCGTATTCGTCACGTCCTCTTCGGAGGCTTCTACCGGCACATCCTTTCTATTCCTTGCTCCACCATAGGTCGGTGGCGGATTTGGCATTGCACTGCTCATCATGTTATTTAAGGAACCTCTTTTGGGGATGCCTTCCGTTTTTGTAGGGGCTGCCGGGGTGAGACCGAAACACGACAGTATGGTATTCCCCTGGCGGTCTGAAAGAACCAACTGCGATACTAAACCCATTTGTATAAGCTGATTGAAATACTGCTCTATGGCAGTGCCAGGCACTTGCTCCATATTCAAGTCTTGAGCAAAAATTAGTATGTGTAGCTAAACGCTGCGTAACCTTCTATGCCCTTGACGCCTCGAACAAGAACAAATATGAAAGTAATTAAGCCACAATAGTGGTAGAAATGCACCGAAAAGGGAGCCAACCGCAAAACTGAACAACTGGAAAGAGTAAAAAAAATAGCCACCCTTCACCCTGGAAAAAAAGGTAGGAGAAACGCGACAAATCGAAGCACCACGAAGGGTTTATGGAAATGTGAGTTCCACAATGTGTTTAAAAGTACTGACAACACCCCTAGGGGAGCAAAAAACGGATAACCCTATTTCTATAAAAAAATGGATTATTATTAAATATATCAATGAAAACGCTCAACAGTCTATGTGAAATGTATCTACAGTCATTTTAAAATTTTATAGGAAATCGAACTAGTATTTGAAAAAATGATTGATGTTGGACACTGCGGTGATCCTGTGTATAGCCCTATATAAAAAAGCAGTAAACGAGGATCAGCTTTGATCGCCTACAAACAAATGCACTCAGACAAGCTGGATATCGATATATCTATACTTGTATCAGCTGCCTCAAGCATTTGATCAGAATACATGTGTAAGTTTCCCCGGTAGATCAGGTCCTGATGATTTGCAAAGTTCCCATTGACTCCAACATATGCGTTTAGCCCACTACCCCCTCGCCTTAGCGTGTCGCCGTCGTGGTTTCCGTCTTCGCAGAACCACTGCCAACATCGCGCTTGCTGGAGGGCGCCTTCTGCGAGACACGGTCTTCCACCGAAACGGAGAGTCTGGTGGGCGCCATCGCGACATCCAGCGCGCGCATCTCGCCGTCCTCGTTGAAGGCGTTGAGCTGGATCGTCCCGCGGAGGATCCCATCGCGGCCGAAGAGGCTCGTCCCCGACTCAAAGGCGTGGGATTCGCCTGGGGCCAACATCGGGAAGTTCCCCATCACCCCCGGCCGCACCATCTCCACCACCGCCCCCCGCCCGGGGTCGACCACGGTGAGGTGCTGCGACATCACCTGGACGTGCCACCGCCGGGGGTTCGCCGCGCTCGACGGCCCCAACACGCGGATGACGACATCATAGAGGAAGAGATGCTGCGAAGGGGAGGCGGAGGAGGAACTCCGGGGGACCCCCTCCCCCCCCTCCCTCTCCCCATTCGTGGGATCCGCCCCGACCGCGGCGGAAGGGTTCGAGCAGACGTACTGCGTGCCCACCTCCACCTCGACGAAGTCCGTCCGGATGGTGGTGCGGGTGGGGATACTGCGAAGAAGCCGGTAGAGGTCGTCGTGCGATCGCGGTAGGGCATCGCCAGGCCATCGAGCCTCCGGTCTGGCGACGAAGGCGGGGTTGCCCGGAACGGCGGAATGGGCGGTGCCCGGCGCGCGTAGGGAGGGCGACTTTCTCGGAGACGACATCGCTTTATCACGTGTGGCCCCCTCACCGCCCTCCCGCCGGGCGGCCTGATCCCTAAGAAGCGTGCTGCTCGCCGCTAAACAGATAATGGCGTCGTTCATCAGGTGGAACGGAAAGTCGTCGCTGATGTTCACGTGGTACATCGGCTCCGGCGGTAGCAGGTATGAATACGGTGGGATACCAGCCCACTCACGGCAGATCACCACATGTCGGCTACACTTCTGAACGCGATGATTTTTCGGGCGCTCGATAAAAATGGTTGCGTCCCCGACTACGATGTCGTCGTCTTCCGTCGATGCCTTTGTCCCTGTGGTCGCAGACTCGGGCGCGTCAAGGCCTTTTCTATCAGCTCGCCGCCTCATAGACTCTAATTCGGCCTTGCTGCGCGGAGTGTCTACCACAGCTCCCCCTACCATTTCGGACTCTTCCATATTCTTTTGCACTTCCTTCTCATCTTTCGGTGTAAGACTTGACGTTTCGGAAAGGGCACTCGCGACGCTGTCGGCATCACTCGGCGCTGGAAGGCCGCCATTTTGGCGTACTAACATTCCCTTGCGCCGCTCCCGTGTGAATTGCCAAGCACGCGAATTTTCAACCTCGTGTAATTTACGTAGCACAACAAAGCTGCTTGCTAAACGTGCTGATACACTATCCCGAGGATCATCGGGGATGATAGGTCGAAGAAAGCAGTTCCTTACAATTGTATTCAGATCGCTCCCATACCCGGCCGCAGCGAAATCCGATCGATTCAGGAGAATGCCAAAAAGTGCGAAGCAAAGGTCATCCAGATCTTCGACACGTTGAGGAAATCTGGCGGCTAAGCTGAGAATATGACGGTATGCAGATCTCGCTACGGACATAACTAAAAAAAAACGAAGTCTATAATCCACGCAATGTCACGCGCTGGTTTGACAATGAACAATAGAGGAGGAGGAACAAAAAACTATAGGCAAGAGCGAGAGAAGGAAACAGCGATTTTTGATATTCATATTCACACATGGATTGCCCATGTTAGTAAAAATTATAAAACCTCCCTTGGAGAGTGACAGAAACTATGGACTTTATCAAATTTAGAACCACTAAATGATAACGTCCTCCCCTCCCCCACCCCACCCCACCCCACCCGTCTTTTAGACTTTGATGGCTGGAAGTCATAGTTCGTTTTTTGTTGGAAGGGGGGATATTATAATGGTCCGTACAGCGATGGAAAAAAGGGGAAACCAATAGGGGGACCAATTTACCATTTCGACTAGCATTCGACTCACGCCCACATACGCATCACCTTTCATCGGCATTGAAGGTTCAAAAGATTATTTCTTCCTCCGATTTGACCTTACGAATTCGAACGGTCCCACTGACACGGGCTTCGCCATCCGACACCTTCGAAGTATCGCGCATCGACTCCGGATCGCCATCACCAGTAGGACTATTCTTGCCTTCCAGCACTTCTGTCGGCACGACACCACGAACGTAGTAGTTAAACACGGTGTGCTGCGCGGCCTCGTTGATGGCCTCCATGAGGGTTTCCCCTTTCCCCTCGCCGATCGCCTGGGTGCCGGCGTACAGTCGGCAGACCGTGTACTCGACCTGCCGGTACTGCTGCGTGTTGTGTAACGTGGCGTAGTTGTTCGTCTCGTGGACCTCCACCGTCCGTCGGATGATCGGATCGACGTCGATCAGCGCGCGCCGTATCGATGGTGCGATGCCCGGCGCGTACTTTAAAATCAGCTGCGCCTCCTTCAACGCGTTGGTGGTGCGCAGGGCGTGGAGCACCACCGGAGGGGCGTCGCGACGATGCCGCTCGATCTCATAAGCGTCGAAGATGTCGTCGCGCAGGCTCTGCGTCGCCACCGCACCACCACTGGACTCGAACTGCTCGCGGCGACGGTCCGCACGGTCGTTAAGAGGGTGTGATTTTGCATTAAGAACATGCAGTTCCTCAGGGGATCGATGTAAATGCCCACTTACTTCACGTCGGATTGCCTCGGTGAGGTCGCGAAAACGGCGGAGGGCATCCTCATTCTTCGATGCATCGAGACCTAGTCGATGACTATGCGTTTCCTCAAATGCCATGCAGGTCCTTGCACTATTTAAAAGGTGCCTCGTATGGGCAAATTCTCCGAGCTGTGCGCAGAAAAGCTTCAAGATCAGTGGAGTTACCTTCACATTGCTGTCGGCAGCACGCTCAGCCATCTCCAGAAAGGCTACGAAAGCAAAAACAAAGCTACGAATCCACTCCATGCGTGGGAACAGATCCCCAGGAACCACAGGAAACATCTTCAGCCGTCCAGAGGCCGCGCGTAGCACCGCCTTCCAGTACCATCGTCGCTGCGCCGCGACGCCCTTCTCCACGCGCTGCAGATGCGCGGCCGCCTTTCGCCGGGCAATATCGAAGCGCTGCTGCAACACGTTGAGCTCGCGCCACATGCCGATCTCCCCATCAACCCCTGCGAGGTCTGCGAACCCCAGACGGGTGGCCACCCGCCCACAGGGCAGCAGCCCCGCTGTCTCGTGGAGCAGCTGCTGGAGATGCTTGGATCGCAGACGCGGGAAGAGCGCGTAGGACGTCCGCGCGATCACGCCTTCGACCAACGCCTTCCCGCGGAGGGCGAGTAAGCCGTGGACGGGGGCGTTGAGCGGTGTGCGATCGAGAAGCGACCACATCCGGTCGATCTCCCGCACCGAAAGCGACGAAGTAGCGGAAGACGAGGAAATGCCACACAGGCTTGGCGGCGACGTGGATGCATTCGTGCCGGAGTCAACCTTTTCGTTGAACATCTGCTGTTGGAGGTGCTCCCATTCTTGGAGATGACGCTCGAGCAACACAAGCGAAGGAGGCGTGAAGTTCTTCGAGCTCTCAAAGAACCCATTAGACTCACATGTTTGAAGCATGAGGCGGAAGGCATCCCCTACGGTGCGTTCTGCGGGGACGCTAGAGAGCTTAATTGCGCCTTGACGCTCAACGCTCCGCCGAAGATTCACTTGTTCGATGTGCTTCTGATGTAGGGGATTCCCAAAGCGCCTCGGTGAATGCACGTCGTTGGTATCCACCGGCATTACTAATCGACGTGGCCGGAAGCGGGGGTAATAGCCAGAAGCCCCTCTGCTGGAATTAATTGTATTACGCAGTGCTTTAAACGTAAAACGCATTACTACGGTTGCAAGAAAGGAATAGGATTTAATGGATTCTTAGGCTAAAACGCTTCAAAAAAAGTCTATAAATATATAAATTATAGAAGTAAAAGAAGATGAGTCAAGAAAAACAATTTTATTACACATCACCCTCAGTTAAAAGTGTAAGGATATGGAACACCCCGGAGGGTTCTGTTGGGAGAGACACCATTACTTTTCAAAATTACACATATCGGATAATCCTCAAGTGTGCAGGAACCCCTCAAAGGGTCTTTGACTTCCTCACACACAGTCAGACTCTCCTTCCTTCACGCTACCCCTTCTTAAGGAGTGTTTTGGGATACTTTTTGAAGGTGTTCCTGGGCTTTCCGGCATTTCTTTTCTGCCGTCACCTTCGCACGCTCCAAGTCTGGGATTTCTTTCTTAAGACTGACGTGACGAGTGCGCAGCTCGGCCAGCTCCTTCTCAAGCTTCCCACGAAGGTTCAACGCCTCCGTCTTTTCCTGTTGAATACGTTCCATTTGCGCCTCGCTGTCCACCTTCTGCTTATCCAGGAGTCTCTGAATGTCCTCTGGCTTCATTGAAGAAGAGTTAAGGTGTTCGTATTGAGCTTCGTAAACAGCCAACTGTTCCTTTAGTGCGATGATGCTGCTCTGTAAGGTACTTTTCTCACGTACGACAACCTGTAGTCGTACGTGCAGGTCATCCACCTTGGAGGCAAAGCTTTGGTTTGTTGCCAAAATGCTGTTGATTTTCTCTAATTTCTCCTTACGCTCAACATTGATCTGTGTGTGCATGCTTTCGTACTCGTTTTGTAGCGACTCAACCACTACCGCAAGCGCGTCGTTTTCCTCCTTTTGTTTCGCGATATCCTTTCGTTTTTCATCAAACGTTTCTTCAGCTTGTTTTAGCCGCTCGTAAAAGGTTTTTTTTGATGCTAAACGCATCTCCGGAAGCTCCAACTTAATTTTCTCATTCATCTGTCGCTTTCGCTTTGTAAACTCGTCCAGCTCGCGGCATGCCTCCTCTTTTTTGGTCCGTACATTTTTCAAGTGCTTCAGCTCCTCTGATAACTCCGATATGGTTTGCTCAATCGATCGTTTTTGCTTTGCTAGCTCATTTGCATATTTCTGGCGCTTTTTCAGATTGTCCATCTCAGTCTTTAAAGCGCTCTCAAGATGTGAGACATCGTGCTCCTCAACAAGTTGACGAACCTCGTCTTTTAGTCTAGCCTCGTCACTGTTCGGTGGAAACTCTTTGAAAAATGTGTTAAGGGCCATAGATGAAAATCTAAAGATGGGAATTCTAGAAATATTACAACAACGCTTAAGACTTTTCTGGCGTATGAATGTTTTGGTCTCTGAGTAATAAAGAAGTCGATATAAAATAAAAATCGATGCACATATGATCTCATAAGGAATTTTAAAAATATGCATATACAAGAAGAAAAGCGAAAAGGCAAATCCTATTTTTTCCCGCACGCCGCATCCTCAGGTCAATGACTTGTTCATCAAGTACGGCAAGATCTGCACTTCATAAATTGGGGAACCTTAATTGTCATTCTTTTGGGAAGTAGTCAAGTCTACTCAGGGCGTAACGAAAGGGCTGAACTACAGCAGAAAATACTTAAAAGGTTCAAAAAGCAACAAAGGGGTAGACCACAAGCAACGATAGCCATAACAATAACGATAGCAGCGACCCACCTAAGGGGGGAGTATAGACTCCCCTGGCCCCGACGTCTTTGGCGTCCCCATAGACTCAAGGTATAAAACAAATAAATATCCAAAAATCGACTTAATGACCCACATCACCGCGAAGTAAACAAGCAAGCCCTTCAGGAAGCCCAAAGAAGCCAACTCTGTGGTGGCCACCCACGCGTCAAAGAACGTCAAGAATCGTCGTACATATCCAGCCTTTCCTTTCAGAAGTGCTCCTCGAAGGATCAGGTAGCTTTCCCACTCCAGCGGGATTCGTGGGGTTCGGCTGCGCATTTCATGATAGCAATTATACACCACACGCCAATCAAAGGGCTCCATGTTCACGTACACCGTCATGAGGGCGTTGTAGGTCTTGGCATTGATGGACGGGGAATTCCGCTCGCGCGAGAGCTTGTCGAAGATCTTGATCGCCAACTCCCACTGCGGCGGGTTCTCCGCCGCCAGGGCCTTGATCATCAGCTCGTAGTTCTCCGACGAGGGCTTCACGCCGCGCCGCTGCATGTCCTTGAACAAGCTCTGGCACTCCCTCGCCATCCCTCGCTGCAGGCAGAGCTGCATGAGAAGAGCGTAGGCGTGCGCGGTGGGGGCCAGACGCCGCTGGAGCATCTCCTGGTGGAGCTCCAGGCTCGCCCGCAGCTGCCCGGCGCGAATAAGCAGCTCAAGGAGGGCCTCGTAGGTGGGCGCGGTGAGGACGAGCCCCGACCCCCGCGCCCCTGTCATCGCCGCCACGCCGAGCGTGTGATCCTTCGGCGGGAGGCGCTGGAGGTAGCGGCGGAGGTACGCGTTGCCCACGGTGCGGGCCGCAACGGAGCCCCGAAAGGCGGCCTCGACCTCGTCAGGGGTGCTTAACAAGGGCTCCTCTACCTCCGAGTGGACGTCACCGCCACTGGGGGAGGAAAAGCACCGAGGGTTCGGAAAGGAGGGCGAGGCCGGGAGAAGGCCACCGCGGAGGAGATGGGAGGGCGCGGTGGTGAACCGGTGAAAGCATCGCAGAGGGAGCGCCAAAAAGCGGCGGGATAGCCGCATAGAGTAGTGCAGAACAAGGATAGACACTAAACAGGAATCAATGTTCTATGGTAAAAAGAAGAAAAAACAGACCTCAACTTAAGCTAATAGCTAGCCCATCCTCTGATACATCTTTCATACATAGAATAGAAAAAGAAGACAACAAAAAAGATTCTATAATTACAATGCATATATCATGACAAAAAAACAGTTACCCAGATATTTCGGCAAAAATAAACGGCATTTTTTCGTAATTATTACCGCCGCTTTTTTTCCATTTATCACAAAACTTGCATAGCGCAGCCATAAAAGTCATCTTAGACACAAAAATCTTAAATTGTTAGTGAATAATTAATAAATACAATTAATAACAATAATAATAATAATAGTGGGAAAAAAATTTGTGCATATCTGGCCTGAAATTTCGTTTACTGATAAGTGCACTCTCAGAGACACGACATCAATATAGAAAAGGTGTGTAGAAATAATAATAATAAACTTCCCAAGACATGGTTTTTTCAAATAAGAATCTTTAAATAAAACTGGCCTCAATGAAGG